TTAATACGCTCCTACTGTGTTTTAAGGATAAAGGGAGATGCTGACATACGGAGATTTGCAAGACAAAGGAAACCATCAAAATGCATTTATTCCTCATTCATTTGTCATTTCTGAAAGTATTAAGTGAAAAATATTTGTAACTTATTAACATTTTATTCGAAGAAGAATGTTAAATTATATGTTTTTTACTTTAAAGAACTAATTTGAACCTCAGGCACACTCCATTCCATTATTCTCTTTAATATCTACTGCTTTCTATCGTCTCATTCTGCTAGATCCTGAATGCCTTTTGATTTAGGGCAGGGATTGGCTAACTTTTCCTATTAAAAAAACTAAATATTTTAGCCTTTTGGGCCATAAAAATCTTTGTTACAACCACACAAGTCTACCACTCTAGATGAAGACACCAATAGATAATACATAGTATTGGTGAATTCCAATAAATCCTTACTTTTAGACACTGAAGTTTGCATTTAATATCATCTTTGTACAGCATGAATATTATTCCTTAAATTTCTTCAGCTATTTAAAAATGCAAAAAATTAACTTGTATATTGTATAAAAACAGGCATTAGTCCAGAAACATTTAAAGCTTTAGGGATCACCAACTTAGCCATAATTTTCCATTGATTGTCATCTTTATTATTGAAAAATAGCTAAGATTTTTAGTTTTTTTTTTTCTACTTTTAACTGTGAAAAAACACATAACGTAGAGGAGTTAGAATAGGAAACCAGAATGAAAGAAGCCTAGGTTCTGTGCCTACATTGAGGGTTCAGTTCTTTGACTGGATGAATAACTTGGCCACTTCATATCACACTTTGTTTGCAAAGTCAGAATTTTCAGGTATTGTTGAAGAGTCATACCAAATGTTAAAGGAGATGGAATGTGAAATTATGCTTGTGTCTTTCAGAGTAGCTACATTTTCAGAAAAAAAGTGCTTTTTTTTAAATGCCATAACATACAAGCGAAAAATGAGTATTTCTGAAGAGGATTTTGTGGGTGATTTGTTCTGAACATTTCAGCATAGAAGAAAATATAAGCTCGAGGGTGAGATCAATGGAAGTATGGCACAAAACACACATATGCAAAGCCTCATGGTTTTCCTATGTGCCTACTATTACCAGGAGAGGTTTGGTTTGGGGGTCTGTAAAAATGTTTTTTTCCTTTAAGTATACCGCTCAGAGCCAAGCCATCATCAGTCCCAGGCTCAGGCAGTTCCAGTTGAAAGTGTGAATGTTCAGTGAGAGGATATTTTTAAAAGGAGACTGAAAATCCTCTGTGCCAGAGACCTGAAACGTTGTTAGGGTATTCAGTGGAAAATTTCATTTCCACATTATAAATAACTGTAGGATATTTTAAGGGATCCAAGACTAGTAACTTCCAAGAGCTGCTTATATTAGTTCCACTGAAATGTTTAATGGAGGGAGTTTGTGAGGAAGGCTATAAAGCTGAATTACCGGATATGATTAATTAAAATAAATAATCTCACCATTGATTAAATTGCCCTTAAAATCCCCAACCATTGAGGCCTGCACATTTTTACTATTCACCCAGTGAAACAAAGGAAGGACAAACCAGCAATGGAGAAAGAAAAGAGTAAAAGCGTCCAACATGATCTCTTAAATTTCCACAGCCCGGGAATTTCTTATACAAAGAACCCCCCCGCCCCCGGTCGCCCATATGTGAAATATTGACCGTTTCTCACTGTCTTCAAATTTCAGGAGTCCCCTGGTCTTGGACTCTCTGGCAAGAAGACAAGCCCAGAGAAGGGGGCAAATCACCCATCACGGAATTTCTATTTCCTTTTGACCGCAGACATAATCCATTTCCTGTGACTCCTCTGCACCCTCGCAGCCCCTACACATTAAAAAACAAAGCGAGTCAGAGATCTCTGTTCCGAAAGTGGCACAGTGTGCCCCCGATAAAACTGGCCCCCAAGAGGGAGCAGGCAAGCCACGCTCGTGAGCGGTGTATTACGCGTGCCGGCGTGTGGCTGTGCGAGTGTGCTGCGAGGGAGTGTCAGGTGGGCGAGGAGACGATGCAGCCGTCCCCCTCCCTTTTTTCCCAGTGGAGGGAAAGCCCGTCTTCCCTTGCCTGCGCCTGGGGAGACCTGCGCACGCACGAGGCGCGGCCGTGCCCGGGGTTAGAGCTCTCCCCTGTGACCGAAAAGATAATTAAAAAATCGCAGGCGCAGGAGACAGCGCAGCCAGGTCGCAGCGCTGCTGGTTCGTCCGGATGAGTGGGTTCTCGCACCCCAGGGCCGCCCCGGCCCGGAGGCCAGCAGGCCGCGAGCGAGTAGGTTTGGGAGCGGCAGTCCTAACGGGCATCGCTTCTGAGACGCACCGAGGGTGGCGGCGGTGGCAAGGCGGCCGTGGGAAGGCCGAGGAGGCGGGAGGGGCGCGGCGAGGAGGCTTCGGGCTTGAGAGGGATTTGGGGCCAGAGGCGGGAACGTGGAGAGAGAAGTGAGGCAGGGAAGAGATGAAGGTGGCGTGGAGTTGTGGCTAGAGAAAAGAAAGGTAGGCACTAAGAGGAAGGACAGCAGTGTCCCCCCCCCCCCGCCCCCGAACTCTATCCTCACCAGGTGGGAGCCCCGGCCTGGCTACCCCCACGGCCACCTGCGCCCCTGCGGTCTGGAAGCCCCCAAGGCCGGCGCGCAGCCCCGCGACCAGACAGTCCGGCAGCCACAGCCCCTCCACGTTCATCCCAAAAGGCACCAGGACCCCCTCTTCCGCGACTCCCACGCTCTCGGAGCCCGGCCAGGCCCATTCAAGGGCGCAGACCCGGGAACAGACACTTAAAAAGCCCAGAGGGAGGGTCGTGGCGGGTCGCTGCCGAGGGCAGGAGGCGCTTGCACCGAGTAATAGAAACACCAATTAATGGGAATGTGACTAGCTTTCAATAAGATGAGAGGAGGTGACTGATGACCCACCTATCTCATTTCCCTAATACACTCCAAGAGGGAGGCATGCTAACTTTTCATTTATTTTGTAAAATCACTGATTACGGTGTCAGCTACCCTATCAGGAGTCTTTGAAACTTTGGCAACTGATGATGCTCTCTGCAAAGTTTTCAAGCTTTACAAGGCTTTCAAGGGTAGGAAAATAAGCAAGAAAAGCAGCGGCCCCCGGCGCAGAGGGCGAGCCGGCCCCGTGCCCTCTCGCTGCGGCGCGGTAGCCTCCAGCGAATTTCCCGGCTTCTGCGGGCGCCGCGCATTGTTTTATTTGTTTTGAAGGTTCAGAGTTTGAGGCTGGTCGGAGACACCCACGTGCTTCTGACTCTCATCAGCGTAATGATCGCCTTAGCCAGAGTCGTGTCTATATAAACCACAAAAACCTAATCATTAGAAATCCCAGCCTCCAAAAACCACATTTTAGGTAAAAAGAGCCGCTTCCCCCCAACCGCCCCCCCCCCGCGCTCCTTCATCCTCTCGACCACAACTTTTTGGGGATGCAAAATCGCTTTTTAAATTCATTTTAGGAAATAAATAGTCATTGAAGCATTTTGCATTTTTTATTTTGTATTTTACTCTATATATTTGTACTCGAGAGCGGAGGGTCAAAAAGAAGCTAAGATTGAAATTCATAGAACGCCGCTGGAGTCTTCTCCTAGCAAGAGTTTTTTTTGTCACTTATTTTAATCAAGCTGACAGTTTCTCAGTCCTTTAAAAAAACTCATCCTTGCTTTCTGGGGATGACAAGATGGAATACATAAGGGGGGGGGGGGGACGAGAAGTGTCCAGCCGTCCACTTGAGTTTCTAAAAACTAAGGACACCCCTCCAACCCCTCATTTGTGCGTGTGTGTGTCACTTAAGACAAAAACCACCCAAACCCTGCAAAACCTTTCTTCTTCCCGGGAGCTGCTCGGGCAGGAGTGGGGGGCGGGGTGGGGGGCGGGTGAAGAGCGCAGAGAAGTAGGCACCCAAGCTCAAGAATTTTCCTTCCTACTCTGCCGAAGTTAACAACGAAAAATAACGACAGTCAGATCGGCCGGCGGCTCTCTGGCGTCTCCGCTGCAGCCTCGTCCGACCAAGAGGGGGTTCCTGGTTCTGGGGGTGGGGGAGCAAGAGGACGCGCGCGGCCAGGAGAGATCGCCCTCGGCTGGGGCCGCCTCTCTCTCGGCCTCGGAAGCTGCGCACGGCGCGCGGGGGGCTGCTTCGCGCGGCCGGCGGGCGGCGGCAGCGGCTGCGATTCGCGGGCTCGAAATCCGTTGCCCCCAGATCCGCTGCCCGCGACTTACCTCCTGGCACCTCGAAGCGCGAGGGACAGGGGAGCTTTGCACGTAGCAGAAGGGAGTGGATGCGAGGAGGTGGCGGTGAGGGGGCGAGAAGAGAAGAAGGGAGAGGAAGGAGCCGAGCCCGGGAGCCGGGCTGGCAGCCGCCGCGGGAGGAATCTGAGCGTGCCGCCCGCGCGGGGGGAGCGGCGGCCGCCGCGGAGGAGGAGGCGGCGGCGGCGGCGGCGGCGCGGGAGGGCGGCGGCGCGGCCGCCTGCGGCTGGGTAGCAGCGCGCGGCGCGGCGGTGGCGGGCAGCGCGGGGCAGTGCCGGCCCCGGGGCTGGACTGCTGAACCCACTCGGCTCCACCGCTGGACTCGAACTGGGAGGGGGCGCCAGCGCACCCAGGACGCGCTGCCCCAAGGGACCCCACTCCACGCTGCAAACTCAAGCCCCTTGCCTCTCCGGGCCGAACACACCCCCGCGCCCGTCTGCAGCTGCCACCCGGGGTGTTCCAGCGGCTCCGGGACAGATCAGCGCCTCCGGGTTCTCCCTGCTCGCAACCTCACCGCGCCGCAACGCCACCACTGGCCCCCCTCAGACTCCGCCGGGCAGTCGGCTTCATCGAACTTCATTTCTCACCTCCTCAGCCCCGTCACCTCCATCCCCTTTCCCCCTGTCTCGCCTCCACCCCCCCCAATTTCCTCCTCCTCGCCCCTCATTTCCACCCTCCTCCCCCTCCCCCGGCCACTTCGCTAACTTGTGGCTGTTGTGATGCGTATTCCCGTAGATCCGAGCACCAGCCGGCGCTTCAGCCCCCCCTCCAGCAGCCTGCAGCCCGGCAAGATGAGCGACGTGAGCCCGGTGGTGGCTGCGCAGCAGCAGCAGCAACAGCAACAGCAGCAGCAGCAACAGCAGCAGCAGCAGCAACAGCAGCAGCAGCAGGAGGCGGCGGCGGCGGCAGCGGCGGCGGCGGCAGCGGCAGCGGCGGCCGCCGCGGTGCCCCGGTTGAGGCCGCCACACGACAACCGCACCATGGTGGAGATCATCGCCGACCACCCAGCCGAACTTGTCCGCACCGACAGCCCCAACTTCCTGTGCTCGGTGCTGCCCTCGCACTGGCGCTGCAACAAGACCCTGCCCGTGGCCTTCAAGGTAAGAGGCTACGGCCGCCCCCCGCCCCCGGCCGGGCCCCGCGCAACCTGCCCGCCGCCGCCTCCGTGCTCTCGGGGGCCGGGCCCCGGGCGTCCTCCAAGACCCCCCCCCCCTGCCGCGGCGGCTCTGACCCAAGGGACCTCCCGGCTGCCCCTCTATCTCCCGCTGCCTGGTCGTGTTCGGGGAGTAGTCGCCGCGAGAAAATCCCTCCCTCGCCCACCTGTGCCCGCTGCCACCACGACCTCTCTGCCCAAGTCCCCCTGACCCATTCATCACCCCTCCAGCCTCCCGGCCTGCGTTCTACCCCACTCCCCCGAGGCGCCTCCCCTCCCCCCTTAGGAGCCCTAAGGTGCCCACCGTGCCCCGCCAGCCCCACTTGCTGCACCCCGCCCCCTGCCCCAGGGGCGAGGCCCCCGGTGCCCTCTCCCCGGACTCCCGCGTCTTCCTCGCTGGGCATCCCGGCCGGCCCTGCGCCGAGGGCTGCCGGTGCCGCCTCTCTCCGGGGTTCTCGCACGCAACCCCAAACACCGGTCTCCGCATCCCCTGCCCCGATCCGCCTGAGCTCAGCGGCCCCGGCCCCTCCCGGGCTCGGGGGCCGGTGTTTGCGGGGCGCGGACGCCGGGCACCAATGTCTGGGGGCCGAGGCAGGCTGCGGGCTGCGACGCGTGGGCCGCACTACCTGAACTCTGGAGGGTCCCGGGCTAAGCCTAGGGGGCTCCTGAGAGGCGCGGGACGGGGGCGTTTGCTCTGTTCGCCGATCTGCGCCAGTTCCCGTTACCGGGGGGGAAGGCGGGGCCTCCAGGGTCTCCGCGCGCCCTGAGGCGGGGAGGTCCGGAGTCCGCGGCGCTGGGCCCTCGAGTGCGGGGCGGCGGGGGCCGGGGTAGGGGGCGGGGGCTCGGCCGCCTCTCGCCGGGACCCAGCTGCGCGCCCGGCCGCGCCTGAGAGGGATGAGGGAAACTTGGGACCAACTTCGGTTTGCCCCGGCTTGAAAACTGAGGTGACATTTTCGAAGATGTGTTTTTATCACCACTCGGATGCTGGAGGGGTTCAAACCCCAAAGGCCCCTCAGGCTTCTGAGAGGTGGAGGCGTGGGCGCGCAAGGGTTGGGCCCCGGAGACGCGACAGCGGCCTCCTCCGCCCCGCCGGCCCGTTAGTCGCAGGGCGGGTGGCAGGCGCTCGGCAGGTAGACGGGGCGGAGGGGTCCCGCGCCCCTCGCGGCTTCCCGAGGCGCTCGCAGACTCGCTGCAGATTTCCCGGAGCAGCCCTCGCCAGGGGGAGGCGCGGAGCCCCGGGGCGGGCGCTCCCTGGCTGGATAGGGAGACGGGGGTCTCGGGCTGCCCACCCTCGGCGGGGGCCGGACCCGTGCGGGGCCCGACGGGGAGGCGAGCGCTCCCCGCACACCCTCCGCCCTTGCTCGCCCCTGCGCTGGAGGAGGTGGGCCCGACACCCCCTGGGCTGTGGGATCTGTGGGGAGCAGGGTGGGAAGCGAGACCTCGGGGGAGGGGGGGAAAGGGAGGAATCGTGCCAGTTCCTCCGTGGCGGACCCCGGGGCCAGACTCCCACGGGCCCCTGGCAGTTCCCGGTTGTTGATCGCCGCCCCCCCACCCCCCGCCTCCACGCACCAATTCAGATTCCGTGTGTGGGTGGAAAGAAAGAAGTCCAGGTCAATTAGAGCCGGTTATCTCGCCCGGTCTGTATCAGAGCAGAAATCAGAATGAATTGTTATGGAAAGGGGATGTTGCATTCTGGGGCAAGTTTCATTTTGCAGTTGGCCCAAGAAATCTTTTTTTTTTTTAACCGTCACATTTCTCCTTTTATAAAACCAGCCAGTTTTTTTTATACGTTAATGTTTTCTTCCATGTAATATGAAAATCGCAATATATGTGAATTACACAAAATTAAATTTCCATACAAGAGCTATCTAATACAACGTACAACGTGCATCGTGCAGGGGCCCAGAATTTTCTAATTAGCCTTATGGGAAGGTGGAAATTTGCTCCCTCCTCCCCTGCAAAGCCCCAAAACTAGACCAAGAAAAACCCCGTATGAAAACAGCAAAAAATAAAAAGCAGCAGGCACTTTGTCTGTGCAATGCTGTAAATCAGGTTATGGGAAAATAAAGGGATAAGTGCTTACGTTTTTAAAGATATCTAGATGTTTGAGGTTCTATGTACCCTTCTGCTAAACATGTTTGGGGAGTTTACTGTCCGAAACTGTTATATTTATGATGCGGAATAGTATTCTGAATGGAAAGGATGTGTTTGGGTCAAGATAGAATGCAATCTAGTTTGAGATGTTTAGTTATTTTGGTTGTTGTCTAGGTTTTCTCACTACCACCCTCTTGAAACTATTTTGAAAATAAATTTTTCTTTGCTGTTAATCATACTTGGTAATTACACAGAGTACATTTTTGTTATTTTAACCAACAAACAGATTATAGATAACAGCAGGCCACGTTGAGTATTTTAGTTCCTATTAATTGGATAATGAATTGAGTTAACCTAAAACTTGACTCTTAGTGTTTTCCCACCCCATACCTGTGTTGAATGGAATTAAACAAGTGGGTGAATGACAGAGATCCATGCAATGCAGTTTTGTCTCTCTCTCCTGAAGAGAAGTATAGGGATTTGAAATGTTCAGATTTTGACAGCAGTTTTTATCGCTTCCACCTGAATGGTGTCAAAACCACCTTTCTTTGCCGTCCTGTCCTTTTGGACTAAAAGCCCAAGAGCAGTAGACTTTCCACACTCTTGCAACGTAATCAAATACATCTGCAATGAAGAAATAATATGAAGAAGTCTCCAATTTAGAAGTGGTGACAGCAATTTGGCTATTCTATTCAGAGCTATGTACAAAATAAATGACAGTGTTGGGCAGATAGCGGATAGGTAAATGCACACACAGAATTTAATTGTTGAGAAGTCTGATATTCAAATCAATACAATATGGATTGAGCCTGTACTTTATGCCCATGACACTGAGCTCAGCACTGCAGACAATCAGAGGATAATTCAGTAGACTGTGTTTGATACGTTAATATGAAACAGTACTTCGTGATGCTGACAATGCATTGCATCAAGAAGTAAGTGATTATTAGTGTTGTTCATCTGACCTTATTTTGGGATTAGATAAAGCACTCATTTATGCTTGATGTGTCAAAATGCAAAAGCAACCAGTATACACCATACCTTATATAAAGCTTATTTATTAACATAGTATTTTTAACATAGTACTGCAGGTTTGAAAAGTTCAGTTCTCCCAGGTGTCAAGGAAATGGAAATATTTTTAACATTTCTTTCAGGTGTATCTCACTGAAAGCTTAAAATAGTTAAGGCATACTGTTAGAGGATCCCAGGCCCCTTCTGTCCTAGATAATTCTAGTGACAAAGAAGCATTTTGCAAATGTAGCTCCTTAGTTGGTGATCATGTAGGAACAGTGGAGAGGACATGTCCAGTCTGTATCTGGTAGTGTCCTTCTAGTTAGGGGGTCTGTCAGCATTTCCACTATGAAGGCTGGTGTTCTGGGCTCATAACTAACTTACTTTAAATAGCTTCAGCTGAAGCACTATGCAGACACTTTTTAAATCCAGAGGTGTGGATATTAAAAGTAGTGCAAGCGTATTAAGTTTGAGAACACTGAACTATCTATTTGCCTATATCGTATGTTTTCTGGCAATATTAAAGGAAGAAAGCACATTTTTAGATACATGATCTAGAACTCCTAGCTGATTTTGTATCTTTAATAAGAACTTTCAGTATTGTCAAAAGGAGGGTTTCAAAATGACAGAGCGATTTCTATTTGAAAATATTTTTGACAACATTGGCCATTTTCCTCTTCAACAGTTATGCAACTAGTAAATACATAACACTAGTGAATTATATTTTCCCTCTGTATTTAATGATCAGATTTTATATTTCTATAGTTTCAAATCAAGTTATACCTAAGCAATGGAAAATAGGGTATTAAACATGTTAAGTCCTCAGTAAACTTATTACAAATTACTGTGCAAAATTGTATAAATCAAAGTAGATATCAAGTTGTATAAAGGAAGATACATTTTTGTGTTATGCCTTTAAATGCAATAAAACCCATTTAAAGTTAAATATTTTAGGGTTGAATATCTAAAACTTACTGATAAGGCAGCCAGAGCAAGTAGTTTTAGATGGAGAATGAATATTTAAAGTACTTTTATAAAACTTGTAGTTAAGAAAAGTTATAGTAGATATTTTTCATAGTTTTTTCCCCTCTTTGACATCACTCTGTGTATCATTTCAAATTTCTGGAACATCCATTATTATAAGATCTGAACCATTTTAATTGATGTCGCATGCATTGCTGGCTTACACTGAAATAATTTTCATCAAAATTTTTCTCTAACATATTTAAAAGATATGAATGATATACTTGTTTTTTTTTTCCCTCTAGAATTCAAATGACTTTTCCTAAATTTTGGATTAAATTCTAAAAATTAACTGAAGTATCTGTTAAAAGTTTTTTTTATAGTTTAGCATTATATTAATTAACATGGGGATAAAATTTTTGTTTTTTGTAATTAGTCTCATTTTTTTGCTACAAAGAAAGATTTTATCAGATTCTATCTTAAAAAATAATTATATCTCAATTATACTGCAAGTTCAATGTGCCAAGTATTGTTGGCCTGTAAGAGTAATTGATTAACTAAGAATAGATTTCTGCTCATGAAAGTGTCATGGGCAATTTTAATTTCCATATAATAAGACTACAGAAACAACTCTAAGGGTCTGAGTTAGTTCTCCATTGCTTTTCTTCCAGAAGTGTTCACATTTAAGTCATAAGGAGTCTCACACAAGATTTTAATAGCATTGCTAGGGTTAAATATCTATTTTGTACAAGTTACAGATCATGTGATTTAAATGCTAGTTATGGGTGAGGTGTGGTAAGTAAAGGAATCTCTGTTCTGTAATGTTAAGGCTGAAAGTTACTTCTCCCCTTCCCATGAAATTTCTTGAATTTGTAGAGTTTATATTTTAAAATCACCTAGGAATGTAATTGTTAAGGTTTTGTCACAAATTATGATTTGCAGTGTAGTACTTTTGTGTTGTGTTACAGAAACAAACTTTATTTTGTGCCTGCTCTTAACTGAAGAGCGAGTTTTAACTGCACTTTACCCCTTAAAATGTTTTTCCGTTGCTTGGGTTTGGTACAGATGAAATGTGTAAAAATTTTCAATCCTTTTGGTTTTCTTTTAGATAAACACGGTTGAGAATCTCCAAGGGAAACTTTTTAGCTTCAGAGGTCTACTTTAAAAAGCTCTTCAAATATATAATTATACTTCTGATGGATATAAAGTCAAATACAGTACTCCCCACCTCCTACACACAACACCTCCCCTCCCCCTGGAAAAACACTGGGCAACCTGATTTGGTAGAATGAATAGCAGAAAAATATATATATATATTTAGCTGTTAACCTAGGATTCAGCCGTAACAAGAATGATTGTCACTATATCATGTTAGCGATTTTTTCTTTTCAGGCCAAGTCCTAAGCCTTATGGGAGGGAGACTCACACAATTTGTGATTATCTGTTTTGCTAAATGTGATATGTAAAACACACCACTGTTTAATATGGTCATTTCTATACTACTTATGCAAAATAAAGTGGGTCCTTTTCCCATATTTTCTCATATTGAATCAATTTTCATTTTTTTCTAACTAAAGAAAAATCTATTATGTTAAAAGTATGCAGTAAAATAATAATGTCCTAGAGCTCTTGAAAAACCTTGGTACTAGGACAGATTTCTTTGCTTTTGAAATTCACCCAGATGGGGGTAAAATCCAATGGCCTTCTTGTAGCACAACAATACTGAAGAACATCTTGGGATGTGATGGATCTTATGTTCAGGTGAACTCCACCGTGAAAGCCTGTCTTTAGCAGGCAGTGTGCTTGGAACAGAACACTGCTGCCCTCCTCATGGTGGGAAAAGCACATCATTATAATTACACTGTCTTCTTGCACAGTACCTTCCACATCTTACAGACTTAAAAAAATTATTTCACATTTATCTTGGAAGACTGTGGTTCCTGGAGGTGAAGTTACTTGTGTGAGGTTGTAGTATCTATGCCACAAAAGTGGGGGAAAAGGGCACCCCCTTGGTTTTTAGTGCATTCTTTCTCCTCTACAAACAGTACGGCTTTTCTTCTGCCTCTATTCATGTACTTACAGACTCCATACTTGCACTGACATAGAAAGCCACATAGCAGGTGTTAAAACACAATATGCTGAGCGTACAAAATGCCTGCCCTCTGGATGAATACTGCCAAAGGTAGTCAGTTGCCCGGCAGAGGTAGTCAGTTTCAGTACTTTCGAATGTTCACATTTTTGGCATGATGAAGCTGAAAAATTGAAAAGCACATTGTCTCCCTCAGGAGTGCACTGTTGATTATGTCTGGTAGCCACTTGAGGCACTAGGTTAAGGATGCAGAGGGGAACCGAGGGGACTTCTCAGACTGAGAGTAACCGTATGCTCCAGCTGCAGGGTAGTCAGCATGAGTCCCTCTCCCCTGGGATAGCAGAAACCTCCAGCAGGGGCACAGCTGTTGGGGACGGATGCTGACTCAACCTTCAACTCGTTCTCTCTCTCAGTGTTTTAGTTGATAGCTTCCCAGACTTCTGGCTATGGGCAGTGGTGCTCTTTCATGGATTTCTTTTGTTTCCTCCTTTCAAAAATATTCATCAGATACCTGTGTGCTGGGCACTGATTGGGAAGCTGGGCAGACACTTGAAGTGAACAGATGAAGTGAAGGCCCTTCCTTGATGTAGTTTACAAACAAATCTAACATGGTCTCTTGGGCTAGAATATCAAGATGAGTAGGCTGATCATTCCTATGCACATATGTATGTTGAGTGAAGATCACTGAAGTCGAATGAGATGCTGTGGAAACTTTTTTTTTTTTTAAGATTTATTTACTTATTTGTCAGGCAGAGTTACAGACAGAGAGGGAGAGACAGGGAGAAAGGTGTGTTCCATCTGCTGGTCCACTCCCTAGTTGGCCACAACAGCTGGAGCTGAGCTGATCCGGAGCCAAGGACTTGGGCCATCTTCTACTGCTTTCCCAGGCCATTAGCAGGGAGCTGGATTAGAAGTGGAGCAGCCAGGACTTGAACCAGTGCCCATATGGGATGCCGGCAGTGCAGGCGGCAGCTTTATCTGCTAAGCCAGAAACTGGGCTTGATAAAGGACAGCTTTGTGATTTTGAATTGAGTAACGAAGTACAAATAACAGAGCAGCAAGCTGAAGGAACAAGGAAGAAATGGGACTGAGAAACAACCTAAAAGAAACTGATAGTGGCAAAAATATTGACAGGATTTTTTTTGGCTTGTTTGACTGTTTTCCTGGTTGGAGGAGAGGATGTGGTGACTGAGTGTTGGGTAAAGCAGAGTTCATGGATGGGGGAAATTTAGCCCTAAAATGAAAGAATAGTGTCTGCTTCATCATACTTTAGGAACTCTGTTTTAATAAGCGTGTGTTCCAGGTGTTTTGGGAGCCTGGGATTAAATATTTAAACTTGTCTTATGGAAATCTTAATGAAGGACAGAGTAGCACTGAGAGTAGAATATGTGGATGTTTGTCAGGCAGGCAAGCCATACTGAGCTATCATAGTTGGGAGTAGGGAGCTACTTTAGCTGGGAGCCAGTGCTCAGTTACCATGAGGGCATTTGGAAGCTCAACAAAGAAGAGATGGGACTAATCTGAATATAGAACCCTAGAGGATAGTTGAGGTAAAGAATTATTGTCAAGGTGCGGTCTCTTGGTTTTTATTTTTTTTTAAATTAAGAATAGTGTGTTTTATAGCATGTATAATCTTTTTTTTTTTGCATCCAAAGAGACATATCTTTTAGCTCCATTTTCCTTGAACTATTTTAAGCATAAATATGGTAGGAAGGGATGTGCAGTTTCTAGGCTCTGTGCTAATCAGAGGCACACATTGATAAGTTAATAAAATATAGGCTAAAGTGCGACCCCTAGTCTTGGAGCAGAGAAAAGTCCTATTAGCCTCAAAAACTGATTCTTTGGGATCTTGGCTTGACTTTAATTTGCATCAGATTAACTTCTGAAGATCAAGGAGACAAATATACCATTCCAAGATGGCCAACTGGAATAGAAGATGAATAGCAGAATGGCAAGATAAGAAGTGTGGCTTTGTCACTGATCATGTTCAGCCTGGCAAATATCCTGTTTTGCACCTAGACTGTAAATTTCTTGATGACTTGGGCTATCCCATTGGGTCCCCCTGCAGAGTGGGCATTTAGTAAATATGTGTAGGGTCATTAAATACTAAACATTAGCTCAAAGTAAGGAGACCGTATATAGACTATCTTTTTTTAAATTTCTTTTATGACATTTATTTATTTTAAAAGCAGATTTGGCGGGGGTAGAGAGAGAGAGAGAGAGAAGGGATCATTCATATACCAGTTCACTCCCCAAATGACTGCAGTGGTTTGGGCTGGCTCAAGTGGAAGCCCACTGGCTCAAGTTCAGGAGCCTGAAACTCTGTGTGGGTCTCCCACATGGATGGCAGGGTCCAAATACTTGAGCCATCTTCTGTTCTCCCCAGGCGTAGGCATCACAGGCAATGCCTTAACCCACTGCACCACAATGCTGGCCCTGGGCCATATTGTTTCTAGAGCTCTGTATAGTCAGGAACTCCAAGGTTTCACCTGCAAGTTCTTCCCATAGAGCTGACCAGACTTTCTATCTTTTAACCTGTGATCCAACTGAGACCACACCTAAGTGCTTTCCAGGCTGTAGACAGGCCATGCCTTCATGTATGAAGAAATCTACTGATGGGACATCAACCTTCCTTCTGTGGCATAATTGCTATGGACAACCTAACATGGGGTTTCAATAAAAATGTACATTTATTTTGCAAAGAATCCAACAACAAATGAAGGAAATTTTTGCCTGCCTTTGAAATGGGTGGACCTCGAAACATTGGTCTGTTTGAAGTGGCATCCTAACACGTAGACAGATGCTTTGCTCCTGCCTGCCATTACCGGGCTGGAGGACTATGTCCTGATAAGACATTGTTTACAATGAGAATTTATTCTCAGTCTTTAAGCTTTTCTGATGTGCCATTGTTGCTGCTGTGTTTCCTGTTTCATGTAGGTGGTAGCCCTCGGAGAGGTACCAGATGGGACTGTGGTTACTGTCATGGCGGGTAATGATGAAAATTATTCCGCTGAGCTCCGAAATGCCTCTGCTGTTATGAAAAACCAAGTAGCAAGGTTCAACGATCTGAGATTTGTGGGCCGGAGTGGACGAGGTAGGTCTCTGATTTTTTTTAATACTGATAATGGAATAAGCACATTAGAATCCTCTGGTGAAATGTAGACTAGTCTGTGTACAAGTCAGCACCTTCTTTTGGAATTACTGAAGATTTTATTTAAATACATCCAGACGCAGTTGAGTGTTATTTCTGAGTACTCAGGCCTTTTTCATTTGTTTTATGATATTTAAAATTCAAAGCATATAAGGGAGAGAACAGAACAGTTGGAGGATCAAATTCTGAATTGTGAGGAATCAAATAACCAACTAAATTGAGTGACAAAGGGGTAAGAAAAATGAATGTCTTGGGTCAGTTTCCTAATCATATCGGTTTTACTTTAAATTGTAGCAAGGACAGCCAGCATAATGCTCTGTACTTGTCACACATTACCTCTATATGATTTAATTTGCTTTCATAATAGGAATCTATTAAAAATCATGTTTTTTTTTTTAATGGAAGGCTTTTCATTTGAATGAGTGACTAATGTATTACTTATGTGAGAATGAGAGTGTAAAGTTGCCTAGACAGATGAATGATCAGGATTGTAGTGGTTCACACTTGTTAGGGATTTCCACTATCTCAATCCACATTCAAAGGCTAAGAATCCTTAAAAGGATCATAAAAAAGGAAATAATCCCTTTAAGGGTTTCCACAGCTGTTTCATAAATGGAGTTAATGTTTTTTAAAAAGTCTAGGGTGGCCAATATTTTGGCTTTTATTTACTTTCAGAGAGACTTTTTCTAGTCATCCATCTTTAAGATGTTCATTTATTTATGTACTGAATCTAATATTTCCATTTTAAGTATTTTGATAAGAGCAGAGAAAATATATCATTTTAAGACTGAGGTGAAATAAAATTAGAAAGCCCATGGCATCACTGCAACTCAGGTTTGAAATAGGAAAGAGGAAGCACCCGTTTTTAAACCATGTCTAATAATTGTTCTTTAGTTTGGATCAGATGTCAAATTATTACCATTGTAAAAACTTGATAAGGGAAATTCAAGCAAGGCTGTTTCCGATGAGTAGTTTTAGTTTACTTTCTAGGAACAGGGCCAAGAAGTTGTACTTTTTCACTTAAAAAAAAAAAAACGATGCATGCTAATGAGAAACTGTCACTGAAAGGTTGTTTGAAATAAAATGAGGCACAGAGCCTCTGGTACAATCAAAACTAAAAGAGTTATCTGTCCATCAGTTTTATTTTACTTTCATTAAATGAAAAAAGGACACATCCGATATCAGCACTGACTGATTAGGTTTGTGTGTGTGTGTGTGTGTGTGTGTTTCCCCTCAGTTACTGATGTAGGTACACAGTACAATTAAAAATATCTCTTGTCCTCTCTCTCTTCCTCACTCCCTCTCCCTATGCTCCCTCTCCCTCTTTCTCTCTGTCAGAATCAGGAGAAATGTGAACACGATGATTTACCTGTGTAGTCCAAATTGCATCTTTCTTCTTAAGACTTTCTTATTAACTATAGCAACAAATTCAAGTATTTAAAGGATTTAGTGAACTATTTAGTATTACTTTATAGCTTCAAGCTAGTGTTTTCATTTATCTTGTTTTTGTATCATAGAGATGCTGCATAGGTTTTTTTTCTGATCAATTTGAGTAGAAACTATGGCAAAGTGATAGTGTACTTTGTAAACCCTCAACATATTTATTTAAGAAACTTCAAAGAGAAACAAAGGGTGTGCACTGTTTTACTATATTGGCTTTCTGAGTTTTGGCTGGTTTCCCAAATAGCAATTTTTATATTTAAAAAAAAAAAAAGACAGACTTAACTGCTTGCAGACTTTTCACGCATGGAAGATGAAGAAAGCTTCTTTTGATGAAGTGTAATTATGTCCAAACAGAGCTGACCCCCTCCCCCTATATTTCTTATGATCTTAACTGAAGAAAGTAGGATTTTTCCTTTGAAGCAGCCGGGACTTGGTGGAGGATCTGAAATGCTACAGTCTGCTGCCAGAGGCAGGATGGAGAAATTGGTCCAGACTTGTCTTCCAGACTTAGATGGGGGTGGGGGCAGTGGGTAGACAGAGAAAGGAAAATTGATTTATCACTAATAATAGATTTTTTAATCACTGTATTAACATTGTATGAAAGGAAACAGTAGTATCAAGCTGAAATGAAGAGGAAGAAAAAGATAGAGAACACTGATAAGAGATTGCACTCTTAAAAAAAAAAAGGCCAGTGTTTCAGTGGCAGGAAACTCTTTAACCTGCCTTTGTACCCTTTGCACCTGACCTGCTTTGTAACAGATTCTTTCCAGCTTCCTCTTTGATTTTCACACTTCTACTTTTCTCTTAAATTACTAAGGCTGGACCAACACGGTGCTACCATTGTATTTTCTGTCTTAGCTTACATTTCCTTTTTTGGTTTTAGCAGCTTTAACAAATACAAAAGCATCAAATTCTTCAAATACTACAAATTTTCACTGGCAGGAATATAAATTCTCAAAAATTAAAAGATATTCTAAGATTTACCAAGGAGTCCTGTCACTACTAACCTTGGCTTTATGGGTCATCTTGTGAACACAGCCTTGAAAGTGCTGTGGAATAAAAGTAGAGCATCAAGGAAACTTGCATTGACTTCAGAGTTGCTTATGGTTTGTAATTGTCTTTTCCTTTTCTCTTCTCTATATACTTATTTATTTGAGAGAGAGAGATCCAGGCAGAGAGAGGGGGAGACAGAGAGAAAAGTCTCGCATCCACTGGGTCACTCCCCAAATGTCCATAACAGCTGGAGCTGAGCCAATCTGAAGCCAGGAGCCAGGAACCAGGAGCTTCTTCTGGGTCTGCACACAGGTGCAGGGTCCCAAGCACTTGGGCCATCTTCCACTGCTTTCCCAGGTGCATTAGAAGAGAGTTGGATTGGAAGAGGAGCAGCAGGGACATGAACTGGCATCCCTGTAGGATGCCAGCACCTCAGGCAAAGGCTTAGCCTACTGCACCACAGTGCCGGGCCCCTCTCCTTTATATTTTAAACAGAAGTGTTTGAAATGACTTTGGCCCTTTTCTTTGTTTTGTACTTCCTCTGTTTTGACAGCAAGTATGCTGCTTTTAATTTACAGGCATTGTTAAGTATCTACAGTGTACAGATCATGGTGCTTTGTCAATGTAGGATGCAGTCTGCTCAGACTCACTCTGTCCCCCCACCCCCAACTATTTCTGGCAGCCCCTTAGGCTAGGTTAGAATTCTCTGTCAGTGTCATTTCCCTCTGTTTACATATGACTTGAGGATGTTGTAGTTCTTGGATGAAGCTGTGGGTGATAGAATTAACTATCCCGGTCAGTACCAGCTCCATAAGAAGAGACTTCTTTGACAAGTAAGAGCTTGCATTCTTATCACTTATGGAAAGTGATAACAAATGGGGTTTGGGGACACACACACACACACACACACACACATTTTAATTTAAGGAAATCATGAATGCCCACGTGAACATTAGACTTAGGAAATGCATCGTTACTGAAAGATGAAGAACCTCACTGCTTCTGAGAGTTTCTTCGGTATAACAAACATGTTTATGGTTTCTGAGAGCTTTTTCAATAAAACAAACAAGTTTCTTCTGAAGGGGACAATAAGAATGGAAGGACCCTCTTTGCCTTTTGTTTTAGTTGCGTCTTGACTCTTGTGATTTGATTTTGGAAGACCATCAATGGCTTCAATGTCTGTTTCCTCCCCCAAACCCACCCCTTTCTAAAGTAAGTATTTATAGAAAAAATGGCTCCCCTCTGAACATTTAGATGTTTGAAGGGTGAGTTTTGAGTTTTGCTTTTGTTCCTTCATGATGGTGGATTTGGGCAATACATAGATGATTTTTAAAATCCATAATAAATTGTAAAGGTCTACAATAGAAATATTCCCCCAAATGAGTCTAAGTAAACATATGGGCAGCATTTCTAATAAGCTAATTATAGACATTAAGCATAATTTGAGATAGATGCATCCTTAATTTATTAAGATTAGTGCCATGGATGACATCTGCCTTCCAAATAGCCATTGGAGGCACTGTTGGAAATGCAGTCCTGGGTCCAGAGTGGCACTTTTTAATGTTTCAATGTATGTTAACTTTCAGTCCAGAGATTTAGCGATCTCAGTCCTCCAGAACTTTCCAGGGCTTTTGAGAGTCTCTCCTGAAGCAGTGCCTTCCTATTTAAGTTTCTAATCTCCATTTCTATAGGCTTTCAGTTTCCTGTAACTAGTTTAGACTTCTGGCTATCTTGTTCTTCTGGTTAGTCTTCTTAAAAATGTATTTTAAAAAATTGTTTGAAAGGCAGAGAGACAGAGAGAGAGAGAGAGGGAGGCAAGAGAGATATCTTCTAGCTGCTGGTTTGCTCCCCAGATGCCGGCAACAGCCATGTTTAGACCAGGCTGAAGCCAGGAACTGGGGAATTCAATCTGGTCTCCCATGTAGGTGGAAAGGATCCAAGTACTTGAGTCACCACAGCTGCCTTCCAGAGTTCACATTAGCTGGAAGGTGGAATCGGGAGCAGAGCTGGGATTTGAACCCAGGCCCTCTTGATTCAGGATATGGGGAATCCCAAGTGGTGGCTTCACCAGTGCACCAAATGCCCAGCCTGGGTTAGTCTTAATGTTTATAATAAATCTTCTTTTGCCTAAAAAATTAAGTTACTTAAGACTATGTAATACCGGTAACACTCTAAAAAGATATGCTTTCATCATCCTAAGAGATTACATTTGTCCGTTTATATCCTTTGTTGCTTGAACACATAGAACTGATTGAGACGTATCTAGAAATAAATTACACATTAATATTTTTAAATGTTCTTTGGAAAAGTGACAGAATAATAGTAATAAAAAAGAAACTTCATTTTGGAGTCTGAAAGGACTGAGTTCAGATCCTGATTTTTTCCATTTATTAATTTTTTTAAAGATTTTATTTACGAAGTAGAGTTAGAGACAGAAAGAAAGCACTTCTCTCTCTTTTTTTTTTAAGATTTATTTATTTATTTGAAAGGCAGAGTTACAGAGAGGCAGAGGCAGAGGCAGAGAGAGGGAGAAAGAGAGAGAGAGAGAGAGAAAATTCTTTCATCCGCTGGTTCACTCCCCAAAAGGCCACAATGGCTGAAGTTGTGCCCTTCCGAAGTCAGGAGCCAGGAACTTCTTCCGGGTCTCCCACACAGGTGCAGGGGCCCAAGCACTTGGGCCATCTTTTGCTGCTTTCCCAGGCCATTAACAGAGAGGTGGATTGGAAATGGAGTAGCCAGGATGCTAAGCTGTGTCCAAATGGGATGCCAGCACTGCAAGCGGAGGCTTAGCTGGCCTCTCCATTTATTAATTGTTTGACTATGGATACATTACTTAGCCTCTCTTGGGCTTCAGTCCCTCAAAGCAAAAAGCTGGGGAGGTTAAATGCAATGATATGTATGAAGTGGATGCTCTTAGTAGGTGTCCAATCAGTGTTCATCTTTCCTTGTTTACTCCTCCCCACATTTCTATCTGTCCTATTTTTCCCCCTTGGCTGTGGAGGAAAATAGCCAAGAAGACTTAAAACTGCACACACACACACACACACACACACACAGAGTAACAAATGATGTGTGTCTTAAACAGATTTCAGGAACTTACATGGTCTAGGTTGAAAAGAAAACCCATTCACTAGACCTGACAGCCGAAGACCTGTTCTACATTAAGTCTTGTCTGTAACCTGTTCCATATTAAGTTTTGAAAAGATTGCATTAAACTTTGCATTGCTACATATTGTCTAAGATTTGTGTTCTGATTTAATACCCTCCACTTTCAGTAGAGAGCAAAAGAGTCTTTGACCAAAAAAACAAAGCAAAACAAAAAGGAGCTTTTTAAAGGTCGGTTATAGGAGCAGACTAAATGAGGACTCAGCCCAAGATTGCTGAATGTTTTATTGAGTCACTGTTTCACGCCCACCTTTTCCTGTCTTGTAACAGTTTGCAGTTTTGACTATCTGACATGACTAACCGTTGCAAATCTAACTGATTACAACTGTCAGTGAGTCTGTGTAACCGGGTCTGGTGTCTTCTTCTGGAGAAAGCAGACACCCCAGTCTGCTGCAAAATCTTTCCCTGTCTTTGCCCTCCTCTTATTTTCATCGCTTTGGGCTCATTAATTTGAAGCATCAGATGTACTATTTCAAAGAAGCACACCCCTGCCTAAAGTGAAGCTTCATGTTTATCTCGAGAGATATCATATACATTTAGCAAAAAATCAGGCTCTGTCAGGGAGTTGTTTCAAGGTTTAACAGCATGGCTGTATGTTAGGTGAGGGGCGGGCAGGGAGGAGAAAAACTTTGTTCCAGTAATGATGAAATCATCATACCACAGGCACATTAAGGCCAGGACAGGAGACACTGGCTCCTGTTAAAATGATTCCCATAAGAACTTTCCTCTTTCATCTTCTTATTGTAGTGCAGTTAAGCAAATGAAATGCTAAAGCCATGTGAAGTAAATAACATAATCAACAATGATTTACCATTGTTCTCTCATGGGGTCGTGACCTAATCCTAAATAAAGACTTCTAAAATTGTCTGTGCTTGGATGTGTTCCTGATGTTGGAGAAAACCGAAAGGAAGAGAACCCTCAAGTGGACCAGGGTTTTGTTTTTATACAGCTGTGGCTACTGAGGAGCTTGTTTGGAAAGGGTACTGCCATGAAGAATGCTAAGAATGGTCTTGACACTCAGCAAGTTCCGAAACATCCTGAAGTGGTCATCAGAGGGTTTCTAGCTTACCGTAAGGAGTGTGGCTCTCGTCTTTGCTTCACTGCCTCCTCGAAGAAAATCTGGACATCTGTGAAGCTCTTATGGTCGTCAGTACTATCGTTTATACTCACTATGTCTTCCTTCTTTTTTTTTTTTGATCTGCAGGCAAGAGTTTCACCTTGACCATAACTGTCTTCACAAATCCTCCCCAAGTAGCCACCTATCACAGAGCTATTAAAGTTACAGTGGATGGACCCCGGGAACCCAGAAGTGAGTACTTACTTTTGTGTTAAAAAGGGTAAGAATTTGCTGATACCCTAGGAGGAGTTTTGTTCCAGATGAGTTAGTGTTACTTTCATGTACATAGTGTGTCTTTGCAAAGTTTGTTATCCGCATAGATTTTTAGTGAGGGACAGTTAGTAGAACTATGGAGTTAGTAGAAAATCAAATTACAGTTTTTAACTTTTGCCACAGCATTGCTAAGGCCTTTGTAACTTTGAGAATCCTTGATAATTAGTCACTGTAACTATTTGCTAAGAAATTCTGCTCATCCACTGTACATAATAGACAGGACAAAAGAGACCCATGAGAGCTGAGGAAGAAAACAATAAACTTAAAAATCTTGAGCTTAGTCAAAAAGCATTTGTGTATGTTTCCCATGGCCTAAGAATGTGTTTTAGCTTTTTAACTCGCCCACTCAATTCCCTTTATAAAGAGCACTCTGCTTAATTACAAAGAATTTATTTGCAAATGATAACTTGCTTGATTGTTACAACACCGTTGCTTGGTCATGTTTGAGTAATTGTTATAGATAATTTCTTTTAACAGATAGAGTCAGACCAGATTTAAACCCACCCTAGTTCATTTGTCCTTCTGGTCAGCCAGAGGTTTAACCAGCAGTCAGCTTAAGGTAGTACAGCTGATCTGTTTAGGCCAGTATGTGTTTTACTTCTAAAATTAAATTGAAACAGTTTGGCTTTCCCCTCAAAACTGACTTGAACAAACTTGGCATAGCAGTACTTAAATGTATTTAGAGATTAAAAATTATTTGACATATAGAGCACAATTCTGTACCAATAGAAACATCCTATAGAACTCTGCTGTTGCTGTGTGAATACATTAGAGTCCTAGCCATTGCATTTAGGGAGTTAAATTTGATTTGTGGTGGAGATACAGCTGCCAAGAATATTTGTCCTATAACAGTACACCTGCCTAGATCAGGAGAGTGACATATCTTCCCCTGAAATGAGAAAAAGCCTGGTAAAGGTTTTGCCCCTCCCCAAGTACCCTGATTTTAAGCAGTGGGAACATACGGTGGCTTCCATCCCTTTTGCTGCTGTCTCTTTTCACAAAGGCTGACTGCTAGCCTGAACTAGGGAGGTTTCCTGCCTCAAAAGCAAGTCTTTGAGGTTTTTGTTTTCTCCTCCTTTCATGTGTATGGCAGTCTTCCAAGTTCATAACATTGGGTCAGTGCTAGCCCTGTGTTCACATTGGGAATGTCCTACTAGGTGGTTGCTATACACATGTGTGTGAGCCCCAAGTCTTGAGTCCGTAAGGCCAGTGGTTATGCAGTGCTGGTGAACAGATGAGGGCAGAGGTATCTTGCTTGGTTTGGGGCTTTCCTTAACTTTTCTGGACTTGCTGTAAATCAGAGATAATGCCTTCTGATGCAAGACAACTTGTAACCTTTTTATGTAACTAGCCGTTGAGTTTCTGAAAAGGCAAGGGTGTCCATTTTAGTAGCGCAGAAGGCAGGATAGAAGTCTTCACATTTAGCACCACGAATGCTTGTCTTTTAAAGATGTTTCCGGCTGATCTCAGTTGCTCTTCTTAGTTCTTAGAAAAACCATTAATGTGTGTGTATGTCTGTGTGTGTGGATGTGAACGTACACTCCAGAGTTGATGCTCAAAAGTTTCTTGTTGGGAGGAAACAGGAAAAGGGGGTAGGTGCTGCTCCACTCTCAAAGACATGACAAAGCAGAAGGCAGAGCAGCGCTGGGAAAGTTAACTTCTGCTTCAAGTGTGGATAGCATTATCTTATTTCAAAGAGGCTTTGGGAAGAATTAATCAATGTATAGACTCATTGCTGTGAGAAATGCTGTGAAAGCAGTGAGGGTAGGGGTGGAGGGAGTCACTGGTTTATGTGGGACCTGCGTTCAGGGTTGGGATGGTGCTGAGGGTGGGTGGGGGAAGCAGATACAGATCTGTGAGTGGCAGACCACCTGTCTTAGATCAGCCTGAACAGCATTTCTTGGAAGCTGAATATATTTGTGAAAATGTGATGTCATTTCCCTGACATCATGTGGTCAGTTGCTAAAGTCAGAGTCTGGAAGTAAGGATGGATCTGGTGTCAGTAACAGCTCTAATCCTACAGCCTGGACTCTGTCATGTATTATTTATTTAATTCTTGTTCTTGGCCATTCAGGGTATTGACTATATTGTAGCACTCTTCTCAATATTAGTCTTTAATTTTGACACTCCTAGTGTGGAAAGCATACAGGATTTTTCATTTTTCTTCAAAAATGAGTATTAAAGAATTTTGATTGACTTGGTGTATGTACAAAGTTGAAGAGAGGAGCCTCTAGCACATAGATTGGTGGAATGATTTTGTCTCTGTGGCTCATATGGTGGTTTATGGTACAAGCATTCAACTCCACCATTTTAGTGCAGAGCAGCCCAGGCTAATACATAAATGAATGGTCAATAAAACTTTATTGATAAAAACGAGTGGTAGTACACATTTGGCTTACAAATCATAGTTTGACAATCCGTGCTCTAGATTTCAAAGTCACTTATTTTATAAACTTTTAAAAGGGAAAGGTTTTAATAAAAGGCTTTCATGAGCAGAGGAGAAAAAAAGACAATGCAATTGTTTTAGCGTGCTCTTCTCTAAAATTAGAATTCCTTAAATAGTGGTTATTTTTCATAGAAATAGTATACTTCTGTTTATTACTGTGGTGGTTTGAAGGAGTTGAGAATTTTGTACCATTGGTTCCTGCTACTGGAACTTTTCTCATTCCCCTAAAGATCTGAGTATGTGTTGAAAAAACTGCTTTGAGTAGCTCAGCTGTTTGAACAAGGGCAAACTCTGGGTTGGGTTAAGATCTTTATGTCAGACTGCTGGTATTGAAATCCCAGTGCCATTTATTAACTGTTTGGAGATAGACAAGTTACCTAACTTCTCTTTGCTTTGCTTTTCTCGTCTTTTAAAGTGAGAATAATAATAATAAAAAATAATAGTGTCTTCCCCATCAGTTGCTGCCAGGATGTTAAATGGTGTGTGTAAAATGGGTAGCACAGTGACTGTCATGCATTAAGTGCTCATTAAATGTTAGATATTATTACATCAGTTTTCTTTAGTGTCAGAGGTTTACTGTAGTGCTTTGCTTATAATATGCTTCTAGGAAACAGATACCATCAAGATTGTTTTCACTAGGATATTATTTTTTCCCCTGTAGATGGCTCTGCTAATTTTTGCTCAATAGTAAACGACATTAATAATTGTTATAAATCATGCTTTGAGCAGACATCATGCTTTCCAGGGATAGCTGGTGCAGAACTGATGACAAACACTATTGTGCAGAGGCCAAGAGAGGATGCTGTGGCACTACTAACCCACTGAGGCCCTGCTTATCAACGCATCTGCCAAGACTTGCTTTTCACTCAAAAATCCAAAAGGTTTCATCCTCCTATGCTTTCTGTCTCTGGCAGCTGAACCAGTGCTGTCACATCACAAACAACTTCTTTTCTTAATATACACATCTGGCGTTGGCAGTTGGACTAACTTCATAAGAGCACATGATCATCACTCATTACAAGATTAAAAAGTACCCCATGGCATCATTGATGTTTTTTAACTTTGATCTTTTGCAGTTGTGATTCATCTCAGTTATAAAACTTCCCTTTAAAGGAACATAGCCGATGACTTATTAGAACCTTCATCTTAAGTAGCGTAAACATGAAAACGGTGCACATCTTTGCAAAATGCCATTTATTTTCTTTGCCAGCTTATCATTTTAAGACATGACATCATACTTAAGATCCCAAATTTGTAAGTCTTGTGTTTAGGCGAGGCGTTTTGACCTTCTGTTGGCAAGTTAGCTCTGAAGACAACTGCCGTATGTTTGCCAGCAGGAGAAGTCAGTGCAGCAGCAGCAGCAGCAATGGTAATGAATTTGGATATCTTACTCTTTTAAACATCAGATCCCATTAGGATCCTTTGTTCCATTTATGCACTTGGTTTGACCTCCAGTCTGATTTAAGAAATATCTACAGGAAGGTGAAGACTAGGTTGGCAATGTCATATTCTATAGTAGCAGTAGTTCCGAGTTAGGGAGGAGGATTGATGGAAAAAGGTATTACTGACTGTGAAGGGGTTGGAAAAAAGTAAACACCGTGCATAGTCAGAGTCCCTCTAATTCCCTATTGTGTATTTGATTATCTATTGCTAAGTAACAAACTACCCCAAAACATAATGGCTTAAATCAGTAACCAGTTTATTATTTCTCCCAATTCAGTGGGTTGACTAGGGTTTGCTTGCTGATCTCTCTCTCTCTTTTTTTTAAAGATTTTATTTATTTATTTGACAGGTAGAGTTATAGACAGTGAGAGAGAGAAAAGTCTACCTTCTGTTGGTTTACTCCCCAAATGGCTGCAATGGCCAGAGCTACGCTGATCTGAAGCCAGGAGCCAGGTGCCTTTTCCTGGTCTCCCATGCAAGTGCAGGGGCCCAAGCACGTGGGCCATCCTCCACTGCTTTCCCAGGCCTTAGCAGAGAGTTGGACTGGAAGAGGAGCAACCGGGACCAGAACCGGTGCCCATGTGGGATGCCGGTGCCGCAGGTGGAGGATTACCTAGTGTGCCACAGTGCCGGCCCCTGCTCATCTCTCTTGGGGTTGCAGTCAGATTGGGGCTGGGGCTGGGACATCCAAGATGGCTTTACTCATGTGTCTTGTGCCTTGGTGGTGTGGCTGAAAGTTTGGGCTCAACTGGAACAATGAGACAGTGGGGCTTCTTTCTCTCTCTCTCCTAAAGCCCCTCTCTGTCTCTCCTCATGGCCTGTCCATGAGATCTCTCCAGCAGTGGCTGACCTCTTATATGGCAGTGCAAGACTTCATAAGGTGCAAAAATGGAAGCTTCCAGTTCATTTTAAGGTTTAGGTTCAGAACTGGCACCAAGTTGCTTCTTCCATAGTGTATTGGGTAAAGCAAGATACAGGAGCAGCTTGAACTCAAGAGGAAGAAACTACACAATGGTGTCAGTGATGGGTT